TCGATTTAACCAAATGGGAAAATGATGCAGCCCATCGTCGGCAACAGGGTGAGTACCTAAAGTGGACGTTTTTCGGATCTAAAAATAAAACTCACTGCAACGAGGAGAACTAGGTTTGGTGTCTGGGAAGATTTGTCGCAGAACGACTCCACATCGCTACAATGTGCGAAGAACCATGACGTGTGGCTTTTTGTGGAATTCAGTTAAGCCAGATTCCTGAGTGGTCAAGGCATGCACAGATACTAGCTCATATAAACTGCGAAAAAGTTGAACTATGTAACTGCGAACGCAAATAACAGAAATGGATTTGCAAGATGAAGCTCCATTTCATGCTCTTGCAGCGACTGTCGCTGTAAGTGCTTTGCCACCTCTCACTAGAAAGATTGATCGCAGTTTTCCTTGTGTTTGTCGCTTATACAAGCCGGATGTTTTGCATAGGTTGGAACTCATTAGTCCATGATCTGCAGCACTGGTTTTACGAAATTTATGGCTGTCCAACACTGTCGCTGATTTTCAGCATTGCTAGATTAGTACCACAGCAAGAAACAGAATGCAACCATATCGCCAGCCTTGCGGTATTAGTTATAACAAATGCGGCTGAAAAGTGGATTGCATGATTCGTGTGGTCGAGTTACTGCCCTTGGCTTACAGGTCTATCACCGGCTCCCCATCGAAATTCATAGAATACTTGTTACTCTAAGCCAAACATGTGATGTAATTTAATTATATGGCGCAACCTCCACAACCAGCTGCCGTAGGTCGGCTGTAGGATTTTCTCCAAATTATACCGAAATTTCAACGGCGCGGATGGCACGCTTATCAGTACAAATGTTATGAATATTCTTCCGATTCATAGTAACCTTTGAAATGAACTTCCAGCCGCAACAAATGAAGATGGATTAGTAACTGATGGGAGATGAGAAAATCGCAAAGCTGAAACTTCGTCCGAAAATAACTTAAGGTGACAACCTGAGTTTCTAGTTTGTCTGGGACCTCGCCCTTGATTAACCCCATCTCTTGGAACTTTCATCAACCCGGATGAGTAGAAATATGAGGAAAGTACTCCAAACATCGACACTTAAAGGATCGGTTCGCCTTATTGGTTACTAAGACATCCTGAGGTTAAGGAACTTGACGGATTTGAAGCTCGGTCAGGTACCTAAGTGATCGCGAGCCGGTTCATTTAAGCGCCACAACATAGTAATACCACATGTCGAGGAGCCAACAAGCCTGGAGGTTTGCTTCGCAAAATAGGGTCTCGAACTGTCAATGAACACTGATTTGCAGACCGGTGATGAGTGAATCGGCGTTCACTGAAAATCCCTTTGCCGCCGCACAGATAGTAGAGCTCGAAGGACTTGACTTGATCCAGGGGATGCTGATCATTGTTGGCAACACTCCTTTACTCCCTACTTAGTGTCCAATACGTATGATATTGAATCTGAGCCAGCTTTTAGGCATGACCGATACTATTGTTTGACCAAAGCAGAACTTAAAAAAACCAAGACCTAGAGTTGAGTGTCTCCCAGAGGTAGGTTCACTGTCATAAGTAATGGGGAGGTTCGTCGCAACTGGAAAGATACCGCTTCGCCTGTTACTCTTTTCGCAGCCTTTTGGGTCGTTTTTCTGCTTTGTTTTTCCCTTCGGACGATGGAATTCAACATTCACACTTCAAGTACTGTGTCTCGGGGTTACTCAGCGCAGCTGTAGTGACAGAGGCTGGTCTCATTGTTGGCGGGTTCTGGCCGCTCGGTACGGAGGGTGTCAGCCGACATTCTCGAGATGATTGAATCTATTCCCAACCAGGTTACCCCTCTCTGTAGACAGACAAAATCGAAAGGACTAGTTAACCACAGTGTTGTGAACTAGGAAGACCGACGAGCTTCACACCCATAGATTTAACTTGAGTACTCATGGATTGTGTATGTGTACATGACTGTTACGTGTTATTGAAACAATGGAAATTGCTCGATGCAGCGTCGCAATGCGATGAAACGTTTTGCTGGTTGATAAGGATTTTTCTCTAGCTATACACACAATGTGAATTATGACCGTTTTCGCTCTCAGCTTTGCCACATCTTTACGGGACAATCCTTGGCTTCGTTGCATCACGTGAACCCTGTGAGTTATCTAACACGCTTCCGCACCATAACTGCTGCACTCAGAACGTCGATCAGATAGCATCTTACTAGCTATCATGGTCCATCGTCCAGATAACCTTGTGTTTACCGCCCAGTAAGGTACCTTCGAAGCACGCGATATTTAGATCAAAGTGGACCCGTGAGGCTATTGAACAGGGTTACAAAGTGGATGCTGCAGCACCTATTAGACTGAACAAAATATAATAAGATGGGAGAGACAGATGGGGGTGACTGTACTGTTTCCACGTATGTTAAATTGTCTCCAACTCGTGTGTCACAAGGCTTTTTCTTACGCCTACTTGTCTTCAGATTGCCAATAGTGCAGGTGGAATTTATCTCACAGGTATTTAAACTTTGATCGAGAATGCCGCATGACTCAACTCTGCTACTGAAGCATTTGGCTTAACGCGTGTCTTGAGACAATGTTCAACGGGACCCGCTGAGCTATAAGAAGTTGTGTGTTTCTTCTAGCTGGACGAGTTCGAGATCCTCCACATGTTAAAGTATCTAGAGAAGTTTAATACGTTTGTGACCCAACTTAGCTTTGCGCTCCCTTGGGATGACTCCACAGGCCACACAAGAGAGTAGCCTCACTTATGACCTTGACTTGGCTCACACTGCATTGAACACAGTTCGACGCATCCAAAAAAGAGGTATTTGTTAGAACTGATACGTCAAAATCTCTAAAGATGCAGATAGCTTAAGACTACGTCATAAGAGGTTCGCTAAATTCAGTGTCGACGAGGGCGACTGTAAATGCAATAGCTATACTCCTGAAAGTGGAAGACTGATATTTTACTGGCTTTCGTCCTCATCAGAAATTCGTGGTACCTCGGTTGCGACAGGGCATCAGTAGACGAGGTCCGGGTATTGGAGTCAACTACAAATCTACTGAGTGTAAAAGACCGAAGTTGATTTACTTTAGCTTATCCCCTTAACGAAGCCATAGATTATAGTAAACATGATCTGGGCCATCTGCAGTCCGTTTTACAACCCCACCAGCTAGTTGTTAATGTAGAGAGAGTACGCACAATTCAAAATACTCCAGGGTTAGAACAGAATATGCAAGCGCAACGTAGCGTCACTGCAGCGAATGGTTCATTAAACTGCTCTTGTATGTCCAAGCGCTAGGGTGTATTGCACTTTGCTTATTGCGCTTATGTTCGGTAACTTTGTTGCGTTTGTAGCATTTTTATGTAACTTGTGGGCATTTTTCTCCTTATCGTGGATTCGTTGCTAACCAACTTACTTCAAATGCTAATTTAGCGAAAAGTTTTGTTACCGTATCTGTATGCGTTATTGGATTTATTTTATTTCATCTTGTCGTTTCAAGTGAATGTCTGTTGCTTGATATTCTCGGTGTGGCTGAGCTTGTTGTGCATGTTGACAAGGTGCCTACCTGTCTATTATCCGCTACCTCGTCCATACTGGTTCCAGGAGACAGTTGGTCGTTGCTGGAGGGAGCAGGATACACGGCCCTTGTGGCCATGCTAAGCTCGAAGAGCGGTTCCATGCACGCAGTGTGGAGCGGACTACGGTCCAGCCACCGCCAAGTGTGCGCTTGATTCCCCAAATACAGCGTGCTTGTGTTTGCCTGTGAAAGAGTGTGGGCCGGCTCCGTTGATGAAACGTGGCTCCCATCCACATGCCTCTCGGTCTTATTCCATCGGGTTTACACTGGATATGGGGTGTGTGGATGGAGCTGTGGGTGGTGCAGCGCAAGCCACCCATTGTCCCTCTGTAGGCGCAAGCGTCCTGTGGCTGGCCACAGTGACAGACAAATCCGAAACCGGATGCCGCCAACCATTACACTTTGCCCTAAGCCCAACTACACACCGTATAACTTGACAGCTTTTGACTGGTGTGGACCAGATCTATTGAAGCATGTTTATGGATTAGTAGCGCACTTAATATTGTTGGTTGTTGCTTATTTGGTAATCACAGTACCATCGACCTGCCAGATAGGGCAAGCATGGAGAACACACCCATTGCTTTGACCCGTTATACTATAGGATTTGATGCAAAGCCTCGTTGTAATCAGCATCAAGATAGCCTACTTACCACTCTAGTTTCGCCAGGATGTAAACACTCAATGTTTGTGGATCTTCAAAGTATGCCTCTCGAAGTTTTCAGTATTGTAACTAATAATTCCAAGCCTATTTCTATCAACAGAAGTTATCCAAACGGGAAATATTGGAGCCGGAGCTAGCACGGCACATGAGAAAGGAGACTATTCCCACCTGTCGTATAGCAGCTGTTGGGTAAGTAACTTCGTCTCCATGACCATAATTCAATCAACTGGAAGAAGTTCTCTTGGGGTGATTGGTAATTGTTATTGGCTCAACCTACTATTGTTTAAACTGACTAACAAGCTAAGCAACGTGGTGCTGTAACTTACAATCGTTATTAGACAGATACACCGAAATCTCATGCACAAAGTTTGCGTAGTTTTAGCCAACGTCCGGCATCAGTAAATGCCAAAACAGCCGGATTGAGTAGATGACCCAACTAATGGGTTGCCAAAGCTGGAATACCCAGTATCAACAGTTTTTGAAAGAATCAAGTGAACGCCTTAGGTTGGTGTGGAGGGATTATGCAAGTACCAGAACTCAGGAGCGTTACAGATGTTATTTCATTTGAAAGGTGTGTTCAGTGAGAGAGAATAAAGAAATCAACTTTAGGTGAATGATTGGCAAAAGAAATGTGGAAAAGTAGTAGAAAGTGGCGGGTATAAATCTTCATTTCGCAATTCGAAAAATCGATGCGTTAAAGTGCCGCGTATCTATCTAACCCTCAGCCATGCAGTAGAACTCTCAGACGTCATCCTTAAATGGTCGCTCGGTAACAAAAAGATGACATTCAAGACGATGACTGGGGGCAGCTTCTAGCAGGTAAAGTGGTCGCAACGTGTTCCTCCTGCTGTCCTGTTTCAAAAATTGCATCGTAATCATCCCCATCCCCATACAGAAAGTCGTATGTTGTGTTCGAAGCGGAACATGCGTCTTCGTATATCATCTTGGAAGATCCGTCTGGTGGCGAGCGATAATGTGAGTTGGCGTTTGCGTGTTCCGTCGACTTTGGGGGAGCTCTGATGTACACCGTGGACTTCGGGGTGGATGGAAGTGGAAGGTCTTGTAAATGATTGCCACTACTGTGGAAACTCTTGGCTGAGTTTGCTCTAGTATAGAAGACCGGTAGCCTGTAGTAGGTGGGGCAAAGGATAGAATGTTGATGAAACATCGCTTAATAGATGCTTGCGGGGCTATTACTGCTTCGCTACCATACACGAAATAGTATTGTTATGGGAGTGAGGATAACCATATAGCTGACTGTCTGCTACAGTAAAGAGTAAGAAACGCTAGAAGTCCGTCGATTGTAAAATGTTAACTTTTCCACCAGATCGGACGCGATGAAATCGAAATGAGTAGCCCGTTCATATCATTTTTCCCAAGTGGCTGACAAGTCAAAAACACCAGTCAAGAAGGAAACATTTTAGGTTGGTTAAGAAACATTGCAAGGGATGCTAGTGTGCCAAATTACCTGAAGTAAGTAGAACTTAGTGGCTAGTTACATACCAACCTTACCTACCGAAAAAACGATATTCCGAGTAAATATAACTAGTACTTGATGTGCACACAAGTTCCCTTGTTTCGATTCTAGTATAGGCTGGCTGAGTTTGCATGAGCCCACATCTCACTGCCTGTAAGCACGGGCGCATCGGAATTGGCAGTGGGTGTCGTTCAGACCTGCAGGTATGTCACCCATGGCTATCCTTAGCATTCTTCTAGAGGTACCCGCACTCAAACAAACCTTAATCCAGTAGCTAGAAAGCAGAAAGACCAGTGGTCTAATTAGTATAATGCTGAAGACGATGTTCCGTGGTTAGAAGCAACTGACGCTCATGATTGGCTGAAAGAGGGATAGACACTACACCAATACAGATGTGCCACATGAAGTATGTGGTTCAGGTTGCCACGAAGCGATACATGTCTGGGTTTTGCACAGCGTCTTCATAGATGTAATTTTCAGCTTTTATGCCGGAGACACATAGCTATTTAGTAACCATAAGTAGTGTACAGAGCAACGTTCTCGAGTAGAATCTATCATCGAGATTAGCTTTAATTGCAATACGACCTGGCCAAAGAAACCGGCAGATAAACCGGTCTTTGGTGGTAGCGTGGCTTTCGACAGACAGTGCTCGAATAGACCTACGCCAGTATCATCCAAGGTTTTGTGTATCGATTTAATTAACTGTCTCATGGATGTTTTGGTGAAACGTTGAGCGCGATGTCCGTTCAAGTGTGGTTACTACCTCATCATAGACAGGTAGGCACTTTGCGAACATGCACAACAAGCGCAGCCACACCGAGGGTATCAAGCAACAGCCAATCACTTGATACGACAAGATGAAATAAAATAAATCCAACAATGCATACAGATACGGTGGCATAACTCTTCGCTAAATTAGCATACGAAGTAAGTTAGTTAGCAACGAATCCACGATAAGGAGAAAAATGTCCACAAGTTACACAAAAATGCTACAAAGGCAACTAAGTTATCGAAGATAAGCGCAATTAGCGTAAGCAACGTGGCCGGTTAATAGAAGATTATTCAGGTAGGCAGAACAAACCAAATAAAGTGGAATGAAATTCATTCAGCTTAAAAAGACCTAGTTCAAGTATAAGTTGGTTTAGCCCAACTGCGGTGAAGAAGCATCAAGAATGCAACATCAGCCTCAGCATGGGGCACACATACATACATGGTTGGTGGCATCCGGTTTCGGATTTGTCTGTCACTGTGGCTAGCCACAGGACGCTTGCGCCTACAGAGGGACAATGGGTGGCTTGCGCTGCACCACCCACAGCTCCATCCACACACCCCATATCCAGTGTAAACCCGATGGAATAAGACCGAGAGGCATGTGGATGGGAGCCACGTTTCATCAACGGAGCCGGCCCACACTCCTTCACAGGCAAACACAAGCACGCTGTATTTGGGAATCAAGCACACACAAGGCGGTGGCTGGACCGTAGTCCGCTCCACACTTCCTCATCATGCCAGTGTGAAAAGATGTAAGAGATGAGTAGGGCTCCATTATTTAGGCTTTCGGTAAGCGAAGTAAGTTTCCAGCACTTCAAGGTGGATCTCGTAAGTCTTCAGCTACATCAAAGACTCACCCATTGGTTTGCGTCAAACGTTTCACTGCATGGCCAAACGCAAGTAATAGCTCGAGCGTCTATCGAGAGATACCGCTTGCTTGAAATAAAGCACGGACCAGAGATATAGTGTCATGATTCATACCCTCTTCCAGTGCGTCACTGAAATAATCAGGCTTTCACCAGGCTGAAACAATGTAACATAAGCCTGTCGCTATTAGCATGACGGTTCCCTATCGGTTGTCGACTGCACTGTGCGCAGCCCTAGAACATTCTTTGTATGAAATTCTCCTGAGTGGCCATAGCTTTCAGGATGACTAGCAAACGGAGAGTAGTGCAACGTCCGTGCGATTGATTTATGGCTACGAGCATCGATTAGCATAAGAGAGATAGTGTCCGTTTCCCCTTTGACTGCAGTAGGTACGTTGCATGAATTCCTCACTAGATAGGTGTGTTGTATTGCTCCATCTGTCGAGCACCAAAGCCACAAGCGTATGTGACATAGGATCCCTTTACCTAGCCACCGGTTCTTCATCTAAGTATAGTTGGGTAACCCACAGAATAGTCGTACGCCGAGTTGTTTAAGTCAGTCAGATACCCGTTGAACGCCATAATTGACCGCTGTGAGCAATGGGTATGTATGAATGCAGCCTGACTCAGGCGGATGTTCATAGGCCAGGTGTAAACGTCGAACATGGAAAGCCGTTACATCGGACCAGGCTGGTTGCTTTGTTGCGACTAACCAAGATCCTAGATTACTACTATTTCAACACTATAGCCCAACCCCACCTGTCGCCCATGAACTTATTGTGTATATTGTTATTTCTACGTTCTGCAGATGAGCACACTAAGAATGCATCCGTTTGTCCTCGATATATGGGCTGACAGGGAAGCGATCGTGTGCACTGCCGAAATGGCACAACTTCAAGTCTCAGTATGGAACAGTTATGAAGAGCTGATATGTGTGCTCATCTTGACCAAAATTCAAGATCGCAAAGAGGAATAACAATGCAACAGGGTACTGAATTCAGAAGTTGTAAAAATTTTTGTCCGATGTAAGAGTCGCACAAGTCTCTGTCTGTCTGCACGAATTCGGTTTCAGTAGCCGAATCGCCGTAGCTTCAGTAAATTGGAGCAGACGAGTATTGCTCTACAGGCGAATCATCCTAAACGGTACAAGAGGATTTCGGCATGTGGAGCAGAGTAAGATTTGCTGAGCAAAAGAGTTAGCCATCTGTTTGGAACTACTCGAGACCATGCTAAGTAGAACGTGCTCCGAAATCCCGGCCGTTGATGTTCTCACAGTTCGGCCAACCTACCTACTATCACAGGTACAACGATTAAATTCGTCTGAGCCCAGCATATTTTTATACAGTATATACTGCTGCATAATGTTCGTCAAAGGATGGCTAAGAGTGTCTTTGATTCCGTTGAATACAGCCATTTAGCTGTGAATGCATCTCACTGGCAGTATGTATGTAAATGACCACATATGGTCCCATTATGCAACAACCGCAGCGTTGAATATCCCATCCAAGTTTAGAAACCTATGTTGTAGCACAACCTAGATGTTCTAGGAACAAAAAAGTCAAGGGTCTACGGTGGTCTTACCAGCAAATTACTGGGAGTTTTCAGCGGAATCTCATATTAGTGTATCACATATTAAATGACCCCAACCATGTATGCCGCCATTCACCGAAATGTAGCCACATCAACCTCTGAGGTAACTGCCTGATACTAAATGAACAGTGCAGTCGTCTAGAATGTCGGCCGAATTACTTGGCTTTTCGTGCTTTTCGACTGTGGAACTCTCCCTAATTCAGTTGTCTCTCCCGTTATTTCGATGTTTTCGAAAAGCAATTGGATGATGGTCATAGCTTCCATCCTTTTGTTACCTAAGTTGTGCTACTGTGAAATATCTCTATCTTGCTTTCATATCGGATTTACGTATCACATGAACCCAAGCAAGTGAAACATGAGTGCGCAAAACGTCAACTAACTATCACGGCATCCCATCTTGTCTTGTACGGTCGCGTTCAATACTTATTTTGTACTATCGGTATTCAGTAGTGCATTTAGCCTGAGGGTCGTTAAAACAGATGGCATATCCTTTGCCTTGGTAGTTTTCGCCCCCATCATCCTCCGCGACTTGTCAAGCACCTGCTTTTTGCCCGTAATAAATCACTGTTCACGTTTCATCATTGTTCAAAGAAATACGGATTGCTATTTCCTCTAAAGAGTGTTGTCAACCTGTGACTCTGCGAAGGAGTGGTGGAATGAAACAACGTCAACCAAACCGTACTCAGAGTTGCGACTAAGGGTTCTTTCTTAAAGCGAGTGGCTTTCAGCGCCCTCACCAATTGGGTTAGTATCGCAATGATGGCATCGGTCAGCTGGCAGTCGATTGAAACATCTGATAATTGAACTAACTAGACTTAGGTAACCCATTTTTTAACAAAATGAATAGGTGGCTATTGCATTTAAAGCACCTCGATGAATATTAGGATGAACGCAAGCATAGAGCTTACCTTGTAGATCCACGATCGATATCCAATCGCCGTTTTCGCTTCATGTGGACAGTATAAAAAGTAACAATGCCAATTAAGAGAATAAGCAGCAGTACGAACACAACACTGAACGCGATGACCCAAACATGTTCGTGACCATAGTGGGTTGACTGCAAAGTAAGAAATGACAGCGGGATTTGAAAGGTCGTATGATAACCATACCGGTGACGGAAAGTTGTGTAGGGGCATAATAGTTCTAAATACAACGTTCACTACTTTTGATGCAAAAATTTACTTTTACAAATTGTCATAAAGAATCCAGTAGTTGCATCTGCATTGATTCAGTAAAGCAGCCGAAATATAACCACCAAACATGGCATATATCAAGTCACGATCTCCTGAATACTGCACGCGAGTTTCACAGGATTTAGTGGGAATTCAGGGTGATAGCAGGTTTTACCGTACTGCTCTATCCACCTATTGACGAAGAAATCAGGCGTCAGGCATCAGATAGCAGAACTCTAATTCTCGAAGAGCATAAATGATTGAAAAAGCTTCTTCAAACAACAGAACTGTCAAAACTTTCAGTTGTGTCGCCATGCCTGGTAGAACACACGTCGAGGTTATAGGTGAAATTTCAGAAACTTTCAATGCATACTTCGCCGACAAGATAGTAAATGAATTATCGGACATAAAGGTGTCAGGCACCTCGAAGACCGATGAAGGTCTATGCATGGTAGAATTCACATTTTCAAAATCGATAGCCAGGTTGCTCGCCTATGTTCCGCGTCCAATGCAGGACAGAATGGGATCCAACCTTGTTTAATAGGAAGCATTGGAAACGGCTTTCTTCTGGTTATGCTTAACAGCTTCACGATCTTTTTTAACAATCGCGCATGTAGTGCCCAAAGAAGGACCTTCGTAGTTATCCCGAGGCACAAAAGTGGACCCACTCATTAGGGTACAATCTTTTCGGCCCATCAATCACACGCCTATCGTATGTATCGTAGTGAAACAAATAGTTAAATACGAAGCAGTTTTCTCTTTGGACAGGGCAAACATCATCAGCAAGTCAAAGTACTATTTTTGTAAGGTTGATCCTGCACAAGATACCGAACGGACTTCTTAAAAGCCACGATAGCTGCCGTAGACCGCGGAACTATTTTATAATCCTGTTCGTGGACATGAGAAAGCTTTTGATATAGCGCCTAATCGAAAATTACTCAGAAAGTTTACTGATGCAGCGATTGGAGAACCAGTATGTTCTTGCTTGTCATCATATCTAGTTGGTAGACAGCTGATCGCGCAATTTCTCAACCGCTTCTTTGGGCAAAATCCAGCCACCGGTTGAGTTATTCAGGAGAGTGTTCATGGACTCCTTTCAGTTTTTATCTATGCAACCGATGCATTCTATAGCATAAGACATGGTGCTGATGAAGTCAAAGATGTCTACTCGCAAAGAGGAGCAAACCATTCAAGATAACCTAGCAGCACTTGGATTCTGTTACTCCATCTGTCAGAGGTTGTTTGCCCGCGACAATTGTAATATCCCTTGGTACAAATGCAAAGTATTGCCAAACAGTTTACTGCTTCAAATTAGTGATTTCCTGCAATGCAGAGCAGTTAGTGATTTGAATGTGCAATATTCGGTCACCTTCAACTTCTCTGAACATTGTGACTATCAAGTTTCGAAGACCTTGAAGATCATCCAATATATATATATATATATATATATATATATATAACTGACAAGTAAAAATAGACGTTATACACCCGACCGGGGATATTTGCAGCATTTGTACACAATCACTGAGGATTTAATGAAGCATAGTATTGGCATAAAGTTACAAATAAAGTGTAAAATATGACCACATGCGTGAACATCACTCAAGTAAGCGTTCACGCGTGGTACTGACAAATTTCTTGGAGTCCACATGAAAAGGGGATAAATACGGTAAGAGTTATGATAAGCGGTTATGCCAGAAGATAAACTCTATGTTTAGAGCGGGTAGACAAGTAGGAGAGAGCTCTTGAAAAATCATTATGAAGGGGCTGAAAAGGACCAGTTGAAACCTTTAATGAGAAGTTGCCACATGCACGAAAATGCTTAGCAAACATGAAGTCACCCACTGATTCACTGAGCAATTCATTACACATGGAAATGAGCTTAAATGAAGATACAATCAATGTGAAGTCTTTTTGTAGAATACTAAGAAAAATGATAGGCCAACAGTATGGCCACGAATTTGGAAATGAAAGAGCGGGGCACTGATAGCACCTGGTGGTACGTTTCGTCAACGTGTGTTGAGCAAAATAGTTTTTGAGGTAACTATACACCAGAGCACTTAACAGTAGATGAACTGGGTATGTTGTGGTCGCTTATCATCATGGGGGGAGAAGTGTTTGACAAAATCAGACGTCTGTAATGGAGGGAAAAAGAGGAAGTTACATCGCGGCATTTAGAAGCGTTGAGAATAAGGGATCGGGACGACTACCACTGCTAAAACTCGTCCAACCCACTTTGGATAGCCGTTGATGATTCGGCAGTTGGAGCGTTGCTGTCCAGGACTACGCCGTCAGCGTACATACATCCAATAAATTTGGGGGGAATTGGAAGCGCTGCAATGTATTGAGTGGACAGCTCTTCGTAAGACGTCCCAGTCCTTACGAAGAGTGGAGATTTTTACCGTTTAACTGGATAAAATGAGCTCGATTCACGAAGTAGTTACGCGTCAGGTTGCGCAGTGCTGATTGAACACCATTCGAAGACAGCTAATTAACCAGGAATGATCTGTCGAAACTTTCAAAAGCGTCGGTGTAATCAAGGAAGGGGAGGCGCAAGGACTTGCATTTCGCATCCAATGAAGATGCTATAGATTGAACAAGGTATGCTATAGCATCTAACGTGGAACGTCGGGGTATGTACGCAAACTGAGATCCATCCACCACCGGACTGCTTGTTGAGATACAAAGTACAAGTAGTCGCCCTAATCCTGAGTTCACGGTGGGTTTAACGCACTGGAAGGTACTTTTTAGACCAAAGCCAAAGAGAATGAAGGGGAGGAGGATGCTTCCTGTGAGGAAGAACGGAACTCAGAATTGTGTTTCTCTACATCCACAGATCCAAGCTGGTTATTGCAGCTTCTACCGCATAGCTGCTTTAAAAGTCTCCATAGGTCACGGCAGTTGTGGTTGTACAAAACGGCTTCGATGTATAAATTATTCAGTCCTGAAATCTCAGTTTTCATTGCTAGAGTAAGTTGTTTAACACGGGCAGCCATGTTACATTTATAGGCCTGGTCTGTTTTTTTTCTAAGTGATTTGAGTGATAGTGCGGAGGATTTATCGACCCATAAGTAGATGGTTTCGACCGGGCAGCGAAGATCGTCACTATTATCCAAATGAATGTGGAATTTGGATCTGCAAGGCATGTGTCCATTCCACTCTGCGAAAGTCAAACCAGCAGGTACTCGAGCGGGTCCAATCACATTTCACGGAAATTTTGCGGTTATTCCTCAATGACATACAGAGAACCTTGTATCTAACTTGAACTTGATCAAGTCTGGCTTCAGCGAATGAAGCTGAAGTTGTGCTTTCTCTTCCGAATGAGAACGCATCGTACGCTTAGTGAGGATAACGGCGTTCACATGTGCTTGAAAGCTAGCTACTCGTTACGCAACTGGGAATTAAAGATCAAGATGGAACAGAGTACGCGATTTGCTGATTTACCACTCCAGGTTCTGGAAGAGACTTCCGAAAGACATCATAACATGATGCACCTGACACAAGTTCAGGTTTGGGCCCACTAGGCATATGACCTTTCAAAACATAGTTGATATGTTTAGGACATGGCAATCCTTGCACAACGCCTAGGAAAAAGGAATCGAAAGCGTCTGACATAAAACAAGGATACAAACTAACTAAATACATACAAATCGGACTTTGACCTACAGCTTCTTTAATTTGCATTTTCCAAACTCCAACCTTTGTCATGCGTTTCTGAAGTACACTGATTCACCGACGAGTTGAAAAACTAGCATAGGAATCGGGCTATTTCGTATCATACACACATGGGATTTGTGCTCATATCCACTAAAGTTCGTCATACGACAGCATGACAAAATGGCAATGTCTTTTTGATGTGCTATTTTGAGAGAACACAACACCAGTATTTGTGAACGACACAGTAGGGGTTATCTTCGTCATTGTAGAGTCACAGAACGAAATATGACAATGTAACAGGGAGTAGTTGCTTAGGAACTACTTTTATTCCGCTCATGAGCTTGTCGAAATGCTGTTGCTGTAGGTCGACATACGAGCAATGCTTGAAGCATCTGCCATGCAATGCCCCGAAATAGCGACTAACACATAGGAAGCTACATCCTGAGGTGTACAACAGCCCCGGTGACTTAAGGAATAAGTTCAAGAAATAAAGCATTGTCTACCAATCTGGTTATCCGACAACGGCAGAGAAAAAACCAGTGCAAACGACAAAGTGGCTACATGCTATCATTACTCTGTAATGACGACAATGTAAATCAAGCTTCCGCAGAAACAGTGCAACAATACCTACAGTGAATCCCTCTCAGTGTTATATTAAACAGAAACATTAGAAAACTGAAAATGACAGCGTGAGGCACGTATGCTCTTAAGCTTTGATAATACACCACTTACGCTTAAGTTGGCACTCTTCAGATGGCTGAACGCCTCATTGTTCGCTCGATCGGCCAAGAATCCGTAGTCGACCGTCGCGTTCACTAAGGGTTCGTAACCATTGGGCCAAATTACTGGTGGGAACTCGCAATGCAACCCCGACCAGCCAGTGGGACAGATGCATTTGTAACCGCCCCAAGTGTTCAAACAGCTGGCATCGGGACCACAGCATGGGGAAGCGGTATGACCGGGAGTGTAACACTTAACCGGGTCAATCGCCATGTTGGTGTTGTACAATGAGGGCCAGTGAGTGCATTCATCCACATCGTATTGGCATCTGTTGGGGTGTATGAGTACAGTTTGGCATTAGTAAGAATACAACGGTGCTGTATTGTTTCCGGCATCTGTGAATGACATAACCTAAGCGCAGACTAAGGTTTTGTTGTTCTACGCATTTGATGGAGAGATCGCGTACTCGGAAAAAACCTCATCAAGAGAAAACAATCAGCTTTAAGCCAACGACCTCCTGCTCGGTAATAATGGAATGGCGATAGAAACGCGTTGCACTCACAGAATTATAAACGCCGGGTATATATACATATATATATCTACATAGTACTACCGCAACATTATGCATGGAGCGACTTTGGCCTCCAGCAGTCGATCTAATGGACGTTCCCAGCATCATCAGATGGTACACGAAAAACCAGTAGCCAAGCACAAGTGCTTCCGATCGATGCATTGCATACTGGTGCTAGCGTGTGGTTAGGCTTCTTTAAAATGTCATAAAGAAGTGCGCAGCTCCAGCTACCACACCTGCATACCGAAGGGTCACGTGTTTTTGTGTGCCCCCCTGGTTAAGTTCAAAGAAATCGATGAGAGGCGGCGTTTCGTGTTCACAAACAAGTGAACGATGGACCGAAAAGTACTGGTGTTTGCTTCTGGAAGCCCGAGACCAATCCCTCTAGAGCAGGCATCTTCAACCTTTATTCGGTGGTGACCCCCTTTTGAACTTTCTCATTTCTCATGGCCCCCCGCCCTTAATCACCACAATTTAAGCAATCCGCAACGCCTAACAGACGCAAATCTGTGATTCCCAGTTGTCAAATTGGAATACGTTGTTATGATAGCTGAATTTTTAATGTTGGTATCACTGCTCTCTCACTTATCAACCCCACCTTTTAACTTTCACAGCCTCAAGATAACACTCATTGTGCGACAACGTCAAGCCAGTTGTCTGTATTTACACAAAACTAATCAGTGATATTTAAAATTGTATTTACTTATTGTTGGCTTTTAACTCTAATGCATGTCAGGAAAAAGGAAGTGTAGTAACTTAGCAACAATATGATTGTCGAGATATAGAGTGGCGTACGAAATGTCATACCACTTGGTTTGTTCCATACACATGTAATATTGTAATGTAATGTTGAAAACTCGTATTTGCACACTTTGGTTTATGGAAAATCCGGTAGATGTCATGAGAAGTTAGTATGGAATAGTTGCTTGGCACCAAACACAATTTCTAAGATGGCGCATAACGGCAGATCAAGTGTTGAACAGAAGGTGAAAAAGGATCGATATTTGGACATGTTAGAAAACCGATTTATTCCAAAACTCTTGGCAACACGTCGACCATTACAAACACAATAGTTCATGCAAGGCGGAGCCTGCCCACACACTGCAAATGTTACTTATGAGTGGAAGGATTTTGGTGAGTATTTTTGTTCGTCGCAATCAGCCGACAATTCAGATAAGACAACTAGCTATCCGGAAAAGCACCAGACGACCCATCCTCCGCAGAGGACCGAAGGATGCGCACCACTGACGAGCCCCAGTAAAGCGAAACGGCCATCTGGTGCTTTTCCGGATAGGTAGTTGACTTATCTGAATTGTCGGCTGATTGCGACGAACAAAAATACTCACCAAAATCCTTCCACTCATAAGTAATACAAATTCGCCCTTACGGATTCCATAAATGCTATGTCGATTCATAGCTGCCGTAACCGGGAAGTCATGACGCCGGAAGGCCAACCGCTGTCATCTGCATGGCAGGTGCCTGCATGGCAGTGGAGGATAGGTCGGGCTATATCGCAGTCAGCTAACAATTCGTGATGGTTGGATACCGTCCTCCATGGGGCAGTTGCACAAGCTGCGGGCTAGTTGGCAAGAGCCACTAGCAGTCATGGGTTCGATCCTCCGTAGAGGACCGAAGGATGCGCACCACTGATGAGCCCCAATAGGACGAAACGGCCGTCTGGTGCTTTTCCGGATAGGCAGTTGACTTATCTGAATTGTCGGCTAATTGCGACGAACAAAAATACTGCAAATGTCGTTCTTGTTTACCTGTATGACATTTGATAGGCGGGTAAGGTCACATCGGTTTCCTGAGCGTCACCAAGGTGGGAGACAGTGACCCCGCATAGCCCTGAGGTCAACCCACTTCTTGACTCCGTTTCGGGCTGATTCGAAGATCCAAAGTCCGCCAGGAACAAAACTCCCGGATCCTTCTAGACAGAAGACGTTTAAAGCTCTTTGTTACCGAGTTTGTAGGAGTAGACCAACTTGTGTCGTAGCGCAGTATTTTATATTTGTTCACATTGAATCGAAGTAGATTCTGGACTGACAACGCGTATATCCTATCCAGATCAGCTTGAAATACTGCGATGTCACCTGGTGTATTGATCGTCCTCCACACCTTGATGTCGTCTGTATAAAGCAGGCAGTTCGAGTTTATGAGGCGTGTGATATTGTTAATATACGTCAGAAAAAACCGTGATCCTGGTACCGATCCCTGGGGAACTCCGCATTCAATTCGGATGGGATCTGACAGCAATTTCCGCACTTGTACTTCCAGGCGCCGGTGTGGAAAAAAGCTTCTGATCCATCTTAGGAGAGGATCACCAATACCAAACATCTGGAGTTTGAGGAGCATAACGTTATGGCCTAATCGGTCGAACGCCTATGAGAAGTCGCGAAAGACTATATCCAAAATTTTCGAGAAAGTTGTGCGAAAGTGTCTGCTGTCGTTCTTCGAATCTATGAACAATGATTTTATACGGGTGAAGAACCACTGCTTTACAAGCCCCCGTCGGGTGGTCTGCTGGATTAGAGAAAAACGTTAATGAAAAAAAGCAGTTAGTAGTTTTACTGTGAAAATAATGGATTTATTGTTTTTGATTCAGCAGTCCTGCACCCCGAGCTTTCCATAGACTCAGTAGGCGAAAAATACTACATCCAAGGTATTTCCCAAGAGTCGGATAGAGAGTAGTGTCAAGTAACAAAATGTAACTGGCGGAGTGCGTCATCCAACAGATTTTTAAATACGGGTAGCGTGGGTGCTAAAACAACCGATTCGGAGACAGCGTTCCATGGTTGACACACACGAATGAAAGAGAAGTTTCTACAGCACGCCAAGCGGGTGTATTGTTCTGCTAATTTCAAGGAGTGGCCTCTAAGTTTGGTGTCACTGCTAAGTTGCAGTAAAGAGCGACACATATGATTTGGATTGTGTAAAATCAAGTATGCCATTATCAAGTCGCCTCGTAGTCGGCGATACCGCCCGCTAGATTATCCCAACCGTTTCAGCCTCTGCTCGTACGGAAGGTGGCGCGTTTCAGTGACGTATTTAGAAGCCCATCATTGAGGTTGGTCCAGTGCAGTAAGGTGGTGTTTAAGCCATGGGTGCCAGGCATGTATTGCGTATTCGACATGGGGACGAACATCCGTATTCAGCATCTATCTGAAAATAGTGGTGTCTAGTTGTCCGAACGCCTGTCGTAGCAAGCCGACATGCTGGTTACCAGTTTTCGAAGCCATTGCGGATTGTTTGGAAAAACCCAAATTATCCTGAATAGGGACGCCAAGGTTGCCTTCGACGGATGACCGCTGGAGTACTTTCGTTCCTTGCTTGTAGGAATAGGTACTCTGGTGTCCTATGGAGAGTACTTTGCATTTGTCCATGTTAAACTGTAACAGAGTTCGGGTTGAGCACTGATGTAGCATATACAGGTTACAATGAAGTAACCTGTGATCGGCATCCGCCTGAATCCTGCGACATATCTTGATATCGTCAGCAAACAGCAGGAAATTTGAAGCAATATTCTGCGTAAGGTCATTGATGAATATCAAAAACAACCGTGGACCTAGAACTGAGCCCTGGGGCACACCAGACTCGACTGGTATGTGTTCAGATAGGGAACTCCGGACTCTCACCAATAATTGTCGTTGCGCGAGAAAGTTGGCGATCCAGCTCAAGAAAAGGTCGCCGATCCCGTAATATTAAAGCTTGGGAAGGAGAACCTGATGATCTAAACGATCGAACGCCTTTGACAAATGCAAGCAGATCACATCAGCGACCTCTCCAGCGTCATTTGACTCGGTCCAACTAATCAGCGCCATTAATAAATGTGTTGTGCACGATTGCTGTCCACGAACGCTGAGTTAATCGGGAGCAATAATGTTACACTTTTTTGGATAACACAACAACGCATCAGCAAAGATGGACTCCATGACCTTGGATAATACAGGGAGAAAGGACACTTGGCGGTCGTTTGAGGCCTCAGTCCTATTTCCGCCTTTGTGAATCGGAATAATTATTCCAAGTTACCAGATTGCAAGAATCTAGTTCTGGTATAAGCAACGCTGGAAGAACTGTGCCGAAAGTTTTGCCAGTTGTCTCGCCGTTGCTCCAAGTGCCTCTGGGAGAATGGTGTCGTCTCCCGGTGAGCTATGGTTGCGCAGAGGCGTCAGCTTCCGCAAAACGACTTTGACAGTAAAAGAGATGTAGGTGAGTCCTGCAGGCGGGAAAACAAAATTTGGAAGATGGCCTGATGGTAAGACTCTCTGAAATGTGTGAGGATATTGCGTCCGCAACGCGTTTGCTGCTTCTGTGGCTGTTGTAGTTGGACCATCAGTTGTCCGGAGAGGAGGAATTCCCTGCCTCACCTTACGACGTCCATTGACATACTTGTACAGCAGTTTGTGGTTAGCGCTGAAAGTTTTCTCCATATTCTGCTGACATGCGACTTTGTCCTCGCTAAGCAGTTGAGTGCAGTAGTTACGATGGGTTACGTAGTTGTTCCAGTTATCTGGAGTTGGTGTTGATCTGTACTCTCGCTAGGCTGCGTTGCGTATAGTCAGAGAGCATGACAGCTTCTGCCTCATCTGCTGAGTCTAGTTTTACTCGAAGAATTCGAGGTTCACCAGAGTGCACTGAGGTCGGGTGACGCGCTACGCGTTGCAGCATTGCAGGGTCAAGCCGAATATCAATCGCCGCGCAGATGGAACTCCACTGGTTGCGATCGTCTTGCAAATTACCTTTTATTGTGCCAGATT